GGGATCCAGACTAGATTGTCCTGAGGAGCAAGGGGTGATATTCAACATCCCAGCCCAGTAGAAGGACTCACCTACCAGCCATGTTACATTAGGAAATAAATAGAGGCAGCGAGACCAACTAGGATGTTATTGTTATAGTCCAGGTGATAGGTGATGAAGACCTGAACTCAGCTATTGTAATTGGACTATATTACTATTATTAACCTACATTCACCAGGTCTCCATGTTACTCCCTTATTCGACAAACTCCAATGGCTCCCTATGACCTCCAGGATCAAATAAAAATCATTGGTCTGCCTTTTAAAGGATTTTATAACCTCTCCCCTTCTTAACTTTCCAGTCATCTTATACCTTACTCCCCTTTACACACTCTGCAGTCCAGTGACAGTGACCTTACTCTTCCTTACATAAGAAATTCTACTATCCAACCACGGGCTATCTCCATGCTCAGGACTCCCTCTCTCCTCATCTCCATCTCCTGGCTTCCCTGCTTCCTTCAAGTCTCAACTAAAGTCCTACCTTCTGCAAGAAGCCCCTCCTGGTCCTCTTTAATCTTAGTGCCTTCCTTCTGAGGGAATTTATCCAGTTAATCCCACATATATCTTATTTGTATGTAACTGTGCAAGTCATCTCCTCCTTTATACTGTGAGCTACTTGAGAACAGGGACTGTTTTTTTTTTGTTTTTGTTTTTGCTTTTTTTGTATCCCTAGCACTTAGCACAGTGCTCGGCACATAGTAGGTGCTCAATAAATGCTGCTTGACTAACTTGTTAACTTGACAAGTCTAGGGGAGTAATTCAAGCTTTCTCAGCTCCAGCCTCTTCCATTTGAAAATGGTGTAAGCAGTACCTAGAGTATCTCCTCCCTCCCCTCAGAGCAATTGTAAGGAGCAAATGAGCTCATGTAGTGGAAAGTTTCCCTCAACCCCAAGGCCCACATCAATTTAAGCCATCATTGTGTTTAAAATGCAAATATCTGGGTTGGTTAACACATTAAGCCCGATCAGTCACTCCTTGTCCCCAATATGTCACATTTGTTCTGTAGAGTTCCAGACAGTCTCTACCAAAGGAAATCCAACATATTTCAATTATATCAGAGAACATCTTCTGATCCACCACTCAACCCAGGGATGTTGTAGAAGAAGCAGAAGGCTATGGAAATAGTTTGAGAAAGGGAATCAGGTCTGCAGGTTGGGTTGGTGCTTACTTTATTGCAAAGAAGCCCTTTATTCCTACAGAAGATTGCAAGAAAACTGGCAGCATGTCCTTGATACTCTATAAAACCTAAGGACTCATGATTGCTTGATTTCATATCACTAATTAGACTGAAGTTCATAGTCTCAACCAAACTTTGGTCCAATTATACCAAATAAAGTCTACACAATTTTGGCTGGCATTCAAGAGCCTTCACAACTAGGCTCCAATCTACCTTTCCAACCTTTTTGCCACTATTCCCTCTATATGTTCTCATCAAGCTGCCCTTGGGCAGGTCACTCACCTCTCTGATCCATACCTTCTTTATCTATAAAATATAGGGGTTGGCCTAAATGACGTCCAAGCTCTGATCACTTCTAAATATATGATTGTATGAGCCCATGACTATCCCCAATCCCCCCAAACATTTCCTGAATTTTCCTTCCTCTATTCCTTTGCTCACACACATCTCTTTGTCTACAATGTCCACCATATTTTTGTCTATGACATTTGAACCAATCTTTCAAGTCTTGACTCAAATGGCACTTCCTCTATGAAGCCTTCCCTGATCCTCCCAGATAGAAGTGATCTCTTGCTTCATCTGATTTCACTTCATTTTATGCACTTCTTTTTGCCTATCATAATCTATATTTGTACACATTTAACATCCTTACTAGATCATAAGCTTCTTGAGGGTAGGAATTATGTTAACTATTTATATCTCCTTCCGTTAGTACCTAGTCCACTATACCATACTCAAGTTTTTTGAATAAATTTGAAAAAATGCCTTAATGGGCTCATTGTGTACTTTTTCAAAAAATACAAGTGAATCTGTAGCCACTAGTTAAATGACGTCAACAATAAGCATTCACATTTAGTATGTGCCAGGCACTGTGCCAAAGTACTGAGAACACAAAGAAAGGCCAAAAAAAAAAATTCCCTGTTCTCAAGGACCACAGAGTCTACTGTGGGGATACAGGATAAATAGAGACAGTTGTGTGCTGAATTCCTCTGGGGTGATTTCTCCATCTGGTCAATGGCCTCTTCAGCAAGACTCAGGCTATTGATGTATAAGTGTATAGAAATGGCAAGAGGTAGAAAGTTCATAGAAGCAGCCAGCTTTGCCACCTCTGGTTAAGGCCAACAACGTGAGCTGTGCCAGGTGGGCTCAGGTGCCCGCTTGGTGGTCTAAACCCTGTTCCATCTCACCTGATAGCTTTGCCCTTCCCCACCGCTACTCTTTGGGCAATCAGAGATAAGCATCTCATCTAAGTGGGTGTCCAGAAGAAAAGTCTGTAAATGCACGAGGGACAAAAATAAGCCCTCTACAAGCTTTGCTTTTGTGTGACTTTTTTTTTCTCATTGAAACCACACTTCATAATAACAAGAGCCATAAACAGGAAACTGAATGCTGGTGTGTCATTGTTCTTGGCCGCAGAAAACAGGGCCTAAGAAAAGGGGCTTGGGCCCCTTGCAAACTCATCAACTGTTACAGCTTGAAGGGATCATACGGATCAACTAATCCAACCCACTCGTTTTCAGATGAGGAAATTGAGATGTGGAGGGAAAATTTGTGTCCAAGATCACACAAACCATCTAATATCAGAGCTAGAACAGATTACTCTCCTCTTTTGATAGCAACTCAGTCCAGCAGTGTTCTACAGTGGACAGAGGGCTGAGCCTGGAAGCAGGAAGACTTCTGACAGCTATGTGACCCTAGGCAAGAGACTTAACCTTTCTGAGCTTCAGTTTCCAAAGGTGTAAAATGAAGTTAATCATACCCACAGGTAAAACTGACCTCACAGCATGGCTCTGAGTTTCAAATGAGATAATCTATGCAAAGTGGTTTAAAAAAAAAGTCCTATCTGAAATTTCATCAGAGTGGGAAGGTATGGGTGAGGAACTTCCTCTCTCATGGTCTTTGGGCAAATTACAATCTTAAAATTGCCTGGGGATAGCAAGAAGTAAGAGGCCTTTTTGGGTCACATAGCCAGTGGGTGTGAGAGGCCAGACTTGAATCTAGGCTTTCCTGCCTAAGGTCAGCTCTCAGTCAAGGTCATGCTACCTCTCAGCAAGGCTTTTTGCAAACTTTAAAGCAATATATAAATGTCAGCTATTATTTTTGTGGAAGACATTCAGGCAGCGTTTATTCATTCATTAATTTACCATCCACTAAAAAGCAAACAAACACCAACCTATTGAGTGTCTGCTATGTATGAGATACTATGTCAGGTACAGTGCCTGCCCCTGACGGGAAACGAGAGGACAGGGACACAGATAATTACAATGCAAGGATCCATATGTTGTAACATGGGACAATATGTACAATATGATGTCAGGACAAAAAGAAATCACTTCTGATTGGGGTGACCAAAGAAGGCTTCCTGGAGGACATGGCAGTTGATCCAAGCTTTGAAAGATGGCCAGGAGGTGGGGATGGGGGATTTACTGGCTCACTCTAGGTAGAGGGAATGGCATGGACAAAATATAGGGGGAAATAGCCAGATGTGTTGGGAGAATAACAAGTTAGTCCAATTTGGCTGGAGCATTTGGTACGTGTAAGGGAAGGATGGGAGATGGAGATAAAAATGAGCTGGAGCTAGATAGTGGAAGACCTGGAACGCTAGATTAAGGAGTTTGTACTTTATTCTGTAGGCAATGGGGGGATATTGACCATTATTGTGCAAGGAGAGAGGGCTACTTCTTTAGGAAGATTAACAGAGTGATGGCATATAGCATGGATTAGAAGGGAGACAATGGAGGCAGAAAGGCCCAAAAGGAGGTTACTGAACTGGTGAAAAGTAATGAAGACTTAAGTTCAGGTGGTGGGAATGGAAAGGAGGAGACACTTTCAAGTGACATCGGAAAGGAAGACTCAATCATTGCTAGGACCTGTGGATAGATTGTACCTGATGGATTATCCTGATGTTTCTACCATTGGTACCTAGGAAGTGGTGCCACATACAGAGATGGCCAAGTCAGGAGGAAGTGATTTAGGGTGGAAGATGGTGAGTTTTCTTGTTTCTGTTTGAAGGGTCAGTGGGATATCCAAGTAGCAATGTCCAGCTGGCAGTTTGAAATGCGGGACAGGAAGTGAGAAGAGAGGTCAGGGCTTCAAAAAACAAGTGAGGAGTAGTTGCAGAGAGGTAATAATTGAAGCACTAAATGTGGATGAGATCAACAAAGGACAGAGCAAAAAGAAAGAAGGGAAAACTAAATATGGGAATATTAAAAGCATGAGGAAGTCAGGGGTAACGGTACATGAGAAGGAGGGAAAACATACAGATATACAGATATCAGCAGTGGGGGCCACGGAATTCTCAGTTTTATTTTGAGCATCTGTGTGTGAGGTGCCTTCATGCAGCGTGATATGTAGAACATTGTGGATAAAGTATTGGACTTAGAACCAGAAAGACCTAGGCTCAAATCCCACCTCTGATACCTAGTCACCCAGGGCAAGTCATTATACTCTATGAGCCTCATTATCCACTTTTGCAAAATAAGGGCGTTTCATCTCTAAATCTATATTCCTAATGCCAGCTCTTTCTAGCAAGTGGCCAAGTTCAGATGGGACTGGGAAGAATCAGATACCCTAGGGTTTATCCTACCCACCCCTCTCTGGTGAGAGAAGACCTAGGGCCCTGCTCTTTTATTCTGTTATGGCTCATCCCAAGAGGACCAAAGTCTCCAAAGCCACATACCAGGGAAGCTGATTTCCTTTGGGGTATGTCTCCAGCTGGGCCAAGTTGGTAGGTAAAAACCTTCAGCCTCCCTCCCAAGAATCAGGCCTAGCCATAGCATGCTTACCTTAAACACTTTCCCAAAGGCTCCATCCCCCAGCTCTCCCACAAGTTCCCACACATCCTCAGGATTCACATCTCGTTTCATGTTGGTGTAATGCTTTGCCTTCTTTTTCTCAGTCCCAAACCTGAGCAGCCTCAGGAGGAAGGCCATGGTGGGTGTCTTGTTCCTTGGCTCTGCCCCTGGGACGCTGTCTTCTTCCTAGGCAGGCCCTGAAATGGCTGGATGCTCCACAGAAGTACAGGAGGGAAGTGGGGGAGGAGGGAACCCCAGCTTCAAAGAGGTTCTGTAGCTAGAGACTTCAGGATAAAGAATAGTCACTGAGGCCAAGCCTGCTCCTTGCTGTCCAGTACTTTGGCCTGGTCTCAATCCGGGAAACTCCAGGAACAGGGAGATTCTGGAAAAGAAGAGGCTAATAGACATCCAGGAGGGCCCTGAGGTGAACCACCCTTTCCTCAGGTTCTAGCCCATTTCTGAGGATAACAGCCTCAGTGGAGCAGTAGATAGTCCCATGGTGATTTAGCCCGTCTTCTCATTCTGGACTTGTGGACTCCAGGTCACTCCCTCACCAACCTTGGACCCCTCACTGTCCATCACTCAGGTCCTTTCCTCCCTGGCCTGTTGCTCCCAGGACACCACCACCTGGGCAGGAGGGAAGTTAGAGCAGTGTAGTGGTTTCTGGAGCAGGTCCCAACTACTTGGTGTTTCTTCTGCCAGCAGGTCACTGAGGTCTGTTAAGACAGGAAATAAACTGCAGATAAAAGAGTAGACGGAAGGAACACGTGAGTATGAGAGAGAGAGAGAGAGACAGACACATATAGAAGTTCACAGACGACAGCTGACAGCAGATGTTTTGGGGAGAGACTTAGAGTGAACTCTTCCCTTCTAATCTCAGAAGAATTTCAGTGGCAAGGTCCCTGCTCTGCCCTGGCTCTGAGTAGCTTTAACTGTTTCTAGTTGTCTACAGAGTAAAATCCAAATGATCTAGTCTGACATTCAAGGTTCTCAATGTACCTTTCCAAACTTATTTCTCACATTTCCCAAGCTCACATTCACTTTCTTTTTTCTTTTCAGAGGCCATTGGAGTTAAGTGACTTGCCCAGGGTCACACAGCTAGTAAGTGTTTGAGGCTGGATTTTAACTCAGGTTCTCCTGAGTTAAATGAGCCTCCTGGCTCCACTCACTGTTCCTTGCTATCCAGTACCTTGGCCTGGTCTCAATCCGGGAAACTCTAGGAACAGGAAGATTCTGGAAAAGAAGAGGCTAATAGACATCCAGGAGGGCCCTGAGGTGCCCTTACATCCACTTTGTGCTCTAGACAAGGCAGTCTTCTTACTGGCCCTCAAACAAACCATCTTCATTTACACATTAATCACTGTTCCACTTACCTCATTGTAGCCAATAGTGGGGGCATAATAAATGTTGAATGGGTCTGTTTTGAATAGCATTTTGCAATTTATAAAGCACTTCACTTATCTCTCAACAACCTTGTGAAATAGTGCAGGCATTATCCCTATTTTTTTTTTAGGCAATTGGGGTTAAGTGACTTGCTCAGGGTCACACAGCTAGTAAGTGTCAAGTGTTTGTTCAGAGGCTGGATTTGAACTCAGGTCCTCCTGACTCAGGTCCACTTTGCCACCTTACTGCCCCATAAGATATTTTTTTTGTTTGAGGCAATCGGGGTTAAGTGACTTGCCCAGGGTCACACAGCATTATCCTTATTTCACAAATGAGGAAACTAAGGCCAAGAGAAAAAATACTGTTCTTCTGGTTAGACAGTCTCCTTTGATGCTTTGAGGAGTGACACTACTAAATGCTACCTGTAATTGCCTTTCTGTTTTCCCATCACTTAGCATGGTGTCTGGTACATAGCGAATGTTTAATGAATGCTTTTGACTGACTGACTTCTGGTTTCTGGTTCTGCTGAAATCAAGGGAAAAGCAGGGAAGCCCATGTTCATATATCTTAAATTCCAAAGACTTTTTCTTGCTCTTTTAGCAAAGATACTGGGACTAGCAAAAAACAAACAAACAAATAAACCAAAAAACCCCTTCCCTTAAGTTCTTTTCTCTTGTTCCCTCCAGATTCTTGGCTAGAAGTCTCTCATCTCCCTAGCCAGAGAGTCTCAATCCCAGATTCTAAGCTCTCCAAGAAGGTCTTTTCAGGAAGACCTGAATTAAAATCTGACCTCAGACACTAGCTATATGACCATGGGCAAGTCACTTACCTTCTGTTTGTCTCAGTTTCCTCAACTGTAAAATGGGGATGATAATAACACCCGTCTCTGAGGGTTGTTGTGAAGATAAAAATGAGATAATATTTGTAAAGCATTTAACTCAGCACCTGGCACATAGCTAAGTGTGCTATGCTCTACTTCTTCTTCTTCATCATCATCATCATCACCATCATCATAATCTTTAAAACAAGAAGAGTCTCTCCAGCTACCTAATGCCCTCAAGGTTGGTCTTTTCTTTGGACTCCTTTTCCAGGTCCAGCACTTAGATCCTTCTGTTAGAAACCTAACTCTCGTTTATGATAAGCATTCCACAGGCCTCTTAATCTCTGAAGTGTAGACTACAAACCAGGCAATGGTCATTCCTTAACTACCAAACAGTTCCGGGGTTCAAGGTTCTTCCATTGTCTTTTCTTCCCCAGAGGTGAATGGGTAGGAAAAAAGCAGAAAGACAAGTTAAACACGGAAGGCAAGGTCATCGTGTCTTCTTCTAGTCTAACCACGTTACTAGATTTTTCACACGCGGTCGATGATTAGCAGAGACGTGAAAGGAGTTTTCTAGTATATCTTTTTACGGGAATAAAGAGAAGATAAATTCCCTATACTCTGTTTTGATCAGACCACATCTGGAGTTTTGTGTTTACCACATTTTAGGGACATTAATAAGCTGGAGGGCAGCTAGGTGGTGCAGAGGATAGAGCCCTGGGCCAAGAGTCAGGAGGATCTGGGTTCAAATCAAGCCGCAGACACTTACTAGCTGTGTGACTGTGGACAGATCACTTAGTTCCTCATCTATAAAATGAGCTGGAGAAGGAAATGGCAAACCACTCTATTATCTTTGCCAAGAAAACCCCAAACAATGTCACAAAGAATAAGATACAACTAATCTATTTAAAAAAAAAAACAGCAATAGGCTGGAGAGTGTGCACAGGAGGGCGACCCAGATGGCAAAAGTCTTGGATATGTGCTATATGAAGATCGTTAAAGGAACTGGAAAAGCATAGCCTAATAGAAGAGAAGCCTGGGATGGGGGTGAGGGGAACGTGCGAACTGTCTTAGGTATACTAAAGACTGTCACTTGCACTCAGTCAATCAATCAGCAAACACACATTAAGTGCTTAGTATGTGCCAGACCCTGTGCTAAGCTCTGGAGATACAAAGCCAAAAGCAAAATAATCTCAGCCCTTCAGAAGCTGACATTACCTCACTGGGAAAATACTGCCTGACTCATCCTAATTGTGCAGGGAAAATTAAATGAGATAATCAGTGTGAATTGGCCATAAGAAAGGAAAGTGATTATTAGAAGCACTCGTGAGACCCCTGGCACTGGACAGGTTGGCCTGGGCAGTAGTAAACCCTGTGTAAGGAGACCAGAGAACTGAAAGAGGCCTTAGGGATCACCCACTCCAATCCTCTCATTTTACAGAGGAGGAAACTGAGGCCCAGCAGGGTTAAGTGATTTTCCTCAAGCCCTCAAATAGTGGGAGATGAGATGAGAAACCAGGGCTTCTGATTCTCAATCCAGTGTCCTTTCCATTATACCCACCAGTGTTTTAAGCTGGGGGGAAAAGACTCCCCTAGTCTTTTGATTTCCATGCCCCTGGGTTTGAATTTGTATGAAGGTGCTGCTTCCTTCTTCTGACAAGCACCTGGCATTCTTACCTCTGTGATGTCTACGTCCATCTTTGCAGAGGAGCTCTTCGGTGATTGGCAAGCCCCAGGTTGAGCTCTGTTCTAGATACTTGACTCGGGTGGATAACAAAAAAAAATAAAACAATGGAAGTTATGAGATATTTGGTGGCCACTTTTTGTCGTCGGCACTTGAGGTTAGTTCTTCCCCACTGGCCTCTATTCCCAACCTTGTCCTTACTCTGTTTATTGCCATTCTTGCCTAGCCTGCCTTTCCTTGGGACCTTGTCAATGCAGCACATGCCATGGGTTGTACTGAAGACACCCTTCATCTCCATGTCCTGCCTGTCACTGCGTCCTTCCTGTCCATACACTCTCTCTGAGCCTGTGTTAGCCTGTGTGATCTAGGACAAGCTCCTTCTCTTTTCTGAGTCTCAGTTTCCTCTTCTGTAAAATGGGAGAGGAGGTAAAGGTGATTCTAAAGTCTCTTCCTATTTTAAGTCTTGTGATTTGCAATTCTTCCACCATTTTTCAGTTGCGTCCAACCCTTCATGATCCCATTTGGGGTTTTCTTGGCAAAGATACTGGAATAGTTTGATATTTCCTTTTCTAGCTTATTTTACAGATGAGGAAACTGAGGCAAACAGGGTAAAGTGACTTACCCAGGGTCACACAGCTAAGAAGAGGCTGAGGCCAGATTTTGACTCAGGAACAGTCTACTGTATCCATTGTGCCACCTAGCTGCCCCTTTTCTTTTTTTCTTTTTTGTGAGGCAATAGGGTTAAGTGACTTGCCTAGGGTCACACAGCTAATAAGTGTCATGTGTCTGAGGCTGGATTTGAACTCAGGTCCTCCTGAATCCTGGGCTGGTGCTGTATCCATTGCACACTTAGCTGCTCCATCTGCTCATTTTCTTTCTACTTCCACAAAGCAGGTAGGTGACCCAGAGGATAGACCCTGGGACTGGAGTCAGCAAGATCTGAGTTCAAATCTGGCCTCAGACACTTACTAGCTTGTGACCCTGGGTAAGTCACTTTAACTTTTGTTTGTCTCAGTTTCCTTATCTGTAAAATGGTGATAATAATAGCATTTACCTCCCAGGGTCCTTGTTAGGATCAAATGACCTAATCATTGTAAAACTGGTAAGTAGTAAGTGCTATCTATATAAATGTTAGCTATCACCATCATTATTCCATAGCACACATGAGGAGGGCAACCAGGGCAATACCTGTAGTACCTTGGAGTTAAAGTTAGGATTAGAATTGGAGTTAGAAACAGAGGTTGGGGGAGGAGTAGAACACCTGCACTAAGACTTTTGGGACTCCTTGTATAAATGCTCAGTCTTTTCGTCTTCACTGGATTTAATCCAATTCAAGAGACCCTCAAGACCTTGTGCCTGAATTGCTAGGACATACTCTTAGCTGGTCTCCCTGTCTCTGAGCTACCCTTCACCCCGAATCAGATTAACATTCCTAAAATACAGCATAACTGGGTGCCTCTCAAACTTTAAAGGTCTGTACAGGGTGTCCCAAAATTCCTGGTGTAATTAGGAGCTTAAACTTCTAGTAAGACTTTTGGGACACCCCGTATGTATGTTGTCTTTTTCTCTTCCCTGGATTCAGTTCAGTTCCATAGCCATTTGTTAAGTTGCTCCTATGTGCAAAGCATTATGTTAGGTGCTAATTCTGCTTATCTTCCTACAAACACACTCCCATCTCCCTAATCCTTACAAACCAAAGAACAAACAAAAACCCCTCCAACCTTCATTTAACCTTTCTACAATATGTTTTTCCTCCCTTTCATGACCAAATTGCTTGAAAAAGTTGTTGACATTAGATTTCTTCACTTCCTCACCACCCACTGTCTCCTCAATTGCTTCTAGTCTGGCTTCCATCCCAAACGAGTTACTGAAATTGCCCTCTTATAGTAACATAATTCATCTGAAGGAACGAAAGATCTAGACTGTCACAGGAAGTGATGGAAAAAGGCAAGAATGAAAGGGGAAGAGGACTTCTAGGAATTCCAGACCTCAAACCATATTGTAGAGTAGCAATCATGCAAACTGCTTAGTATTGGATTAAAAATAGCAAAGTATAATCAATGGAAGACACTGGACAAGGAAGAATCAAAAGTGATCAAACTCAGTAACCCAGGATTTGATTAATCTGAACATAGGAATTACATAGGAAAGAACTCTGTATTTGACAAGAATTGCGGAGAAAATAGACAGTAGTTCAGCAGAAATAAGGTTTAGGTTAAGTTGAATATTAAAGATCATTCCATAAAAATAATTTCACAGCTCTGGGCATTGGGTGAATGTTTACCCGTATAAGGGATAGAGGCAATCACAGAAGAGAAAGTAGATGTTTTTAATTGCATGAAGTTAAAAAAAACTTTCATGAATTAAATTAAATAAAGGTTAGGAAGGGAATCACTTAACTGGGGGAAAAGCCTAGTACTAAATATTTCTGATAAAGATCTGATATCAAAGGTATAAACACCAGAAAAAATACACAAAAGCAGAAGTAATTTCACAAGAGATAAGTTATCAAAGGACATGAAGGAAATAGTCCTCAAAATAAAAATTACAAGCTGTTAACAACTATATGAAAGAACATTGCACATTACTAATAATTACAAAGAAAAACAACTCTGAAGCTTTACCTCATACCCATAAAACTGGCAAAGTTGCTAAAGGAGGGTATAGTCAGTATTGGAGATGTCAAATTTAAAAAAATTGTTAATATTATACTCTTCATTTTAGTCATATCTACCAGAAACAATTTCATTTAACTTATCATTAATGTAACATCAAGCATATGTAGCCTGGAGAGAGACATCCCAACTGGCCTAGTTCATCTATGCCCTTCAATATGTCTCTCAAACCCCAAGATGATTTGAGACAATATTTATAGGGCTTCTGAACAATAGTAAATAATCAATCAATAAACATATATCAAGAGCCTCCTATGTGCAAAGTAATGTGCTAAGCACTGGAGATACAAAGTAAGGCAAAAAATAATCCCTATTATCAAGTAGTTTACAGTGTAATGGAGCTTACATGAAAATAACTATGTTCAAACAAGAAATAGACAGGTAAATTGGAGATAATCAACTAAAGGAAGGCATTAATTAGCATTAAGGAGGATCAGGAAAAGCTTCTAGTGGAAGGTGAAGTTTTAGCTGGGACTTGAAAGAAGCCAGGAAAGCCAAGAGGCAGAGATGAGGAGGGAGAACAGGAATGGGGATGAGGCCAGGAGGCAGAGATGAGGAATGGGGGACAGGTGGTGAAAAGGCTGAAAAAGTTGTAAGATGGAGTGTGGTGTGAGTAATGGCAAAGATATCAGTGTTGGATTGTAGAGTACATGGAGGGTGATGAGATAGAAAAAGATTGAAAAGGGAGAAGGGACCAGATTGTGAAGGGCTTTGAATGCCAAACAGAACATTTTATATCTGATCCTCAAAGTAATAGGGAGTCACCGGAGTTTATTGAATAGGAAGGTGACATAGTCCAATCTGCACTTTAGGAAGATTAATTTGCCAGCTAATTGAAGGATGGCTTGGAGTGGAGAGAACTTTGAAGCAAGGAGACCAATCAGTAGGCTATTGCAATAGTCCATGTGTGAAGTGATGAGGTGCTGCACCAGGGTGGTAGCAGTGTCAGAGGAGAGAAGGAGGGGTATGTGAGAAATGCCAGAAAGGCAGAATTGATTTGGGGATGTTAAACAAATGTAATAGAATATTATGCAGTAAGAAATAACAAATATGATGATTCTTTTTGGTTTGTGGCAACTTCAACCCTCTTCACCAAGAGACACACTCAAATCAAACTTCTTCTACCATGCCCAACTCTTTATCCTAAGGCCTCAGTCCAGCTCAGGAATTCACACATTGGAAATATTTTCCACTCGTGTGGCCACTCTCTCTGACTCGATGGATCAATAGTCAATGATTAATAAATATTATTATGTACCTACTATGTGATAGGCACAACTGTGCTAGTTGCTGGGGATATAATTACAAAAAAGAAAGACAGTCCCTGCTCTCAATGAAGAAATCCAAAATTTGTGTAGCCAGGTGGGAGAAGAGGAGATGTCTGAAGTTCCTCCCAGAACCTCTACTTAAGGAGAACAACCATGTCAGCCATGTTTTATTCCTTCCCAGGTGGCACATAGGACTTCCTCTACCACGTCCCTGTGCTGGGAACTTTTGTCTCTCCTCCCCTTCCCATTTTACCTTTCTTTTATGTGTTGTCTCCCCCCATTAAAAAAATGTCAGCTCCTTGAGGGCAGGACTTATTTTCCTTTCCATCTATATTTGTATTTCCAACGCTTAGCCCAGTGCTTGGTACATAGTAAGAGCTTACTAAATGCTAACTGACTGACTAAATAAAGGTATAGTGACTATGCTTACTGCTTTTACCATCCCAGAGCTAGGCTTCAGCATCTACCCCTCCAGGATTCTAGGGGTGCCCTTGAAGAGTTGGGCATCTCTTCTCTAATCCCATAGGTTTAATCCTCCATTTTGGCTGTGCTCTGCCCACCCTCTTAGCTTCCAGTGACTGGTGCCTTAGTTCCTTTTAACTAATTAATATCAATTAGTTTTTACAAAGAGATATTTACTTCAAAACTATAGCAAGAACAGGAGTACCAACATTTTCCTAAAACATTTCATAGGTACACTCTTCCCTATTCTATCTTGGCCTCTAGAGGAAGAGTGGTCTTAGATTTAATGTAGTTTCTCCATAGCATTGGTCCAACCAAGTTCATGTCTAAATCTGGCATCACTGTGGGTGAGTCCTCAATAAACACCTAATGGGCTAAGGGCTGAATGGCACCAAATGAAGTAAACAGAGCTAGAAGAATTATATATATTGACTAGAGAAATTTAAATGGGAAAAGCAACAGCAAAACAGATGAAACCAAATGCTGTGAGGTGATCCCAAAGAAAAGATATAAAGTGGCAGCTTCTCTCAATTATTTGCCAGGGTGGGAGACTGGAATTGTGGGACTCTGCATATAACATGAGGCTATTTCAATATATCAATTAGTTTTTCTGAACTTTTTATCCTTCCTCATTTTAATTAAAATTTCTTTTC